TTCCATTTTCCACTTTGGATGGGAAGACATGGTCTAAATTGAAAGTAAACTCATCTGACCTATTGAACCAAGAATGGCATTGCTAAACAGGAACTTACCTAAGTTAGGTTCTTCTCATTATTTGAGTTGTAATTGTTAAATGTAGTTGTGTTATTGTCATGTTTCCCTCATTTTAATATAGCTATACTTTACAAAATTTACTTCTGGCTGTCCTCTGGGCAGACTGATAATTCAATGTTTTGAATTACTTTACCTTGTCTATGTTTTGATTCATCTTTTTGTGTCTTCAAAGTCCTTTTGCCTTTGAGGATACTGTAACTGCAAAAAAAAAAGCTAAAATAAATAAAGAGATATACAGGCTCAGTGCTAAAAACTTGGATAAAATGGTTATATTTTTCTTTTTTTATATAAGTATTATATGCACAAGTCTCTTCTTGAGGAAGTCCATCTTCTATACTTCCTCCTCCTTGACCCCTTCCGGATTCAGTGTGTGTGTGTGCTACCTGTGTTTGATGATGTTGCAAATGAAAGGACATTTCTTTAAGAGAACAGTCTATCAGATGGGCCTTGAGACAGAGTTTGAGTAGCTGAGATCTTGAGAACACAAGAAACAGCCAGAACTCAAAGTTTTAGTGTTGGCCACAGCTCTTCCAGGCAATGACCACATTGGGGACAGAAACATGTGAGCACTTGTTAGAACAAATCTCCCTACGCCCCCACCTGAGTGGGGTGGTGGGAGGGGGCAGCAACTTCACACGGGATTTTATTGTTTGCAGATACAGCTGTCCAAAGCAGCTGCTTTATTCAGACAAACAAAGAAAACCAAATAAATGATAAGTGTTTATCTTTTGTACTCTTCCATTTTTATTTTTGGAAAGCACACATTTTGTTTCCTAGATACATTTGTTTAAGCGACATTTCTCTGTTTATACATTGCTTTGTTTCCTGGTATTATTTGTTGCTAAGTCCTTATGGAAACATATGTAGATTGTAATGCCTTATCTATGCTTTTTGAATGAATGAATAAAAGAAGAACAGAAATATGCCATGCAGATCTGAAACATTTCTGAGAAATAAGTGATCTAGTCCCATCCCCTAATACTAGAGAAGGAGGAAATGAAAATCTGGAGAGGCTGCGTAACTTCTAACTTGCTAAATAGAAGGGGGCTGGTGTCCATTTCCTTCGATTTCCATTACAATATGTTTTTCGTTGGAAAAATACAACTACAGTTAAATTGATAGACTTTTTAAAACGCTTGACTCCAGGATTGAGGAGGTTCTTACTTTAGTGCCTGAGCCTTTATGACCCTGTAACTGTCTAGACAAAAATATCTCTTAGTGTAAGACTATGCAACAACCCAGAAATTCTACTTCAATATCTACCATAGGATAACACATGCATATAAGAATTCATAAAAACAAATATTTCAGCAATGTATATAATTAGAAAATCCTGGCAAGTACCTAAATGTTTCTGAATGAGGAGTGGTGAAATAAATCTTAACATTTTTATTCTATGAAATACTATGCAACAGCTAAGAAGAATGAGTCAGACCTGTTTGGTAATAGCAAACATTGTACAATAAAAAGACATTGTACAATAAAAAATGAAAGTTATAAATAGTTCTGGATCCATGTCACATTTATGTAAAAGGTATTAACAAAGGGTGGAGAATGAATATGATAAATTTGTAATAGAAATAGTTACCTCTGGGGATGGCAGGGCTAAGAGTTGAAGGTGGCTTGCAAAGACAGCTTGATTTCATCTCCATGTTTTAAACCTGTAAAAAATAGAATGCATTCATGAATTATTTGTGTGATGTAAAAAATGTTTCTTAAAAGCTCACTATCCAGGCATGTGGGAAGCATTTCATTGTTTTTAGCCCAGCTACCAGCATTATGATAATAGAGCTTACATGAAAGGGGCTGGATTTTGAAGACCGCAGGGCTCTAAAATGCTTAGAAGCACTGCGAGGAAAGCTTTGTGCAACTTTTAGCAGGAATGGGGGTTAGCAAGACTCAGGAGGTCTGGGGTAGGGCTAGAGATCTTCCATTTCTAACAAGTTCCCTGATGGTCTGAGGAATCTCACATAATGATGTACGTAATACTGATATTTAGGGTTAGGTAAGGTTAATATAGATCACTTTCTCTCATCAACCTTCACAGACTAAAAATATTGATGGTGAAGGTGTGTGGTACCAAGCTAATATTTTCATCCATAAATTGTCCCTTTACTAAGAGGATTTGTTTACTGTAGTGAAACTAAATCTTCTAACACACCAGGCCAACTGTGTCTACTAATCTATGTACCTGGGTTTTCGGGTAAATACAGAATTCTTTCACGTATCTGTGCTGTTTAATTTTCTGTATGTGATTTGGATGCCCCAGACGGCTTGGTATGAACCTGAAGACAGGGTGGGAAAGAGTTGAATGCAGCAAGTTTACACGCTTTTTCTTTTGCAATAAAACAGAAATTTGCAGAAGCTGTTTATGTATAACTATCACAGCAATGGTTTGTTGTCTTTTAGTTCATGTAAAAGCTGAGATTCTCACTGTTGAACTGAGAAATAATTTTTATTTGTCCCCTTTTTTGAGATGCAGCCTCAGTGTTGCTATTAGTGGTGACTTCATCACATGATTCCCAGAGCATGACTTGGTATTAGATCCCTTGTTGATAATGAATAGCGTATAAAAGATAACATTCACAATTTTCAAGGTACTTCAAAAGCAAGATAGTTAGATTTCCATTTAACCCTAATTAAGTCCGTCCTTGTTTGAATCTAATGTCAAATACCTTTCTTAATTTTAGAGAAGAATGTCAACACCCAGTACCATTTTATATGAAAACTTAGGCATAAAAAGTTAAGGCAATAGAAATTGTCAGATCAGAGCTCCTCCACTAACTTCTCCAGGCAAGTTTTCCTCTGAGAAGAATGTAAGTGAACAGGTTTTCCCTTTTTTCTTTAAGATGTACTTCATGCAATCCAAAGTATTTATAAAATGTCCCTTGTGTGCACGGAACTATTTCTGAGTGTTTTTTGGTAAAGCATTTATATGAAAAATGAAACAAAACTAAAAGGCAAAAACAAATTACTAAACGGACTTCTGCTTCTAAGCAGGAAGGTGGAATAGGGACCAGATTTGCCCTCCTGCCTGAAAGTACTTAAAATCACCAGGAAAAGAAAATCCTAACAGACAATAAAAGTCATAGTTTGTACATAGGACAAAGTACAATAGCTTTTTTAAAGTATTGAGGGGAAAATCCTTTCAAATTAGAATTCTGTATCAAAGTCCTCTTTTTTACTTAAAAGGTGTAGCGCGCCAGCACAGCCATGGGTGAACCTGAGGGGTGAGGAGTGGTGGTGAAGTATTAAAGAAGACAGACAGATAATAAAGCTGGGCCTTGGTGGGAGGCCGCTCTTAGAGAGACAGCAACACGGCCTGCAAGCCAAGTCTTTATTTTATAGCCAGATTCCAGGAGGTAAAGTAAGGGCGTGGTCAAGATGTTTATAATGTTCTCGTGGGTTTTGAATCTACTCAATTACATGCACCTGACTCTATCAAGCCCACATCACTCAGCCACGTGGGACTACAGGTTCCGACCATAAGGTCAAGCTTACAACTATAGCCTTTGGCTATAGTTATGCTGGGACTTGCGCTGGTTTTGCCACGAGAGGACCACGTGCCCTCTCATTAGTCCAAGGCTCCAACCTTTCCAACACTGTAGCCGCTCTCCACAAAAAAGGAATCTTCACTATAGAGTTTGGAATAAGTGAGGAAAGCATGGGCCTTGTCTGGTAAAGCTTCAGCCATTCCCTCTTCTTTCCTTCCAAATCTCTCCCTTCCTTACCTAATCGATATCTTATGCATATGTATTGATTGGTAAAGCTAAGGTCTGATTTGCAAAGGGCCTTTGGAGATGTAATGAGCATCAGGGGCTCCAGATGAGATCCTTCTGAATGAATGGGGTGGATCCTAAATCCAACAAGTGTTTTTATAAGAGGAGAATACAGACAGTAGAGAAGAAACACAGAATATGGGAAGGCGTAGCCTTTGACTAAAAGGAATTTGGAAGTAGTCAGTAGTGAATCGCAGCTACCTTAGGCTCTGAATAGGAAGCCAGAGCACAGTACCAGTGAGCACACTGGTGTTAAGAAGATTTGGACACTCATAAGGACACCAGAGATCTTGGAAGGGAGGACAAGCCACCTTCTCAGGACGCCGAGAAGAGCACCTTAATTTTTGCAGCAGCATCTCATCCATTTAATATGGGGTTTAAAGGACACAATGACACCTCAGTAGTAAGGATCTCCTTTTCCTCGTGAGAACTTGAAAGTGAAACTTGATATGCATTGTTTTCTGCTTTGCTTTGCCCCAAAGTTGTCAGCATTGCATGTTGCTTCCCCATCTGTTGATTCCAGGTGCGGATGAGAAAATTATGCAATTCCCACCTTCTCCAAACAGCCGCCATTGGATCGAAGGGCAACCTTAAGACTCTCGGAGAGCAAAAACCTCGGGGAGCGCACGCCTAGGTCGGAGGGTCAAGTTGCAGCGTCTGGGAGCAGGGAGCGAAGCGCAATTCCCGCAGTCACATCAAGCAAATTCTTAACAAATAAGCACCCAGAGGAACTGAGAATGGCCGGCGGACGGGGGAGGACACGGGTTCTGGGATGATCACGGCTGATCAGTTGTCTGTTCATGCGCTCGCAGGAAAAAAAGAGTCCCGCACCGGGCGCCCACCGGGAGAGCCGCTGGCGACCCGGGCTGCAGGCAGAGCCGGACGCCGCGTGGGAAACCGCGCTCGGAGCCGGGGGGC